AGCGTCTCTTCCCTTCTTAACCAGAAGAAAATGTGTTTATGTCTCTGGGAGTAAAGAGGACGAGTTCCTGAAACCAAGCTTTATCTGATGGAAGTAGTTACAACAGGTCTCAGTTCATTTGTATTTTTCTGGTAGGTGGAAAACAACCTCATATAATAAATATTATTCTTCTCAAGTAAATCTGTAAGGTAATGAAGCATAACTCTTTCTTCACAAGCCGTGGTGTGCTTGCCCTAACCTGATGGGGGTGTTGGCTTTCTTGTAAGTGCTACCACGTGGGTGGAACAGCAGTGCTCAGTTTTTAACAGGAGAAATACTTCATTTTGCATGCTCCATATCCTGCCAGCTCTGAGATGTGAGGCTGGCAATGAACTTGAGAACCTGGGCAGGTTGAGGCTGGGTAGGTTGAATGTTCAGTGAGTTTTGTGGGAGGGAGTGGCAGCTGCGTTGCCTACGTGTTTGGTCCCAGCCTTGTTTGCAGGTGGCCTTGGGGGTAGTAGCCACGGCTGCACCCCCGTTCTTCCAGTTGTGACTCTGCCCCAAAGTCCAGAACTAAAAGAATATGAAGGGAGGTGTCAGATTTAGCCAAAACTCCTGTATTTAAAAGAGCTGGTATAGTATTTGGATTTGATATAAACTCTTTTGGTCATGTGCTATTGAGTGTCACGTTTGCTCTGTATTCTCTGATTCTCACTTTCTGAGAAAAAAGAATATTGGTTAACATAAACAGCTCAATTTAGTTTTAGTACATGAAGTATTTTAAGTATCAGGCAAACTAGTGTGTACAAATAGTACACATTGTATGAAAACATGTATTAATTTATAAATTTAAAAATAAGATACAAACTGTATCGAAGTGTATTTGGATTTTGAAGTACAGAAATCTTAGAGATGTGAATGAGTGTTTATACCAAACCACAGGAAGGCTCGCATAATAGATGGACATTTCTGGCAAACAGTTGTGTTTCTGCTTGCAAGCTAACTGCTACTTCTAGCCTTAATTTTTATTACTTCTTTAATTTTTAATTATATACAAAAAGCGGACAATTTTGCATTAAAACCAAACATTCACAATCTTCCTGGTCTATTTTTGCTACTTAGGAAGGAGTAGTATCTCCTACTGATCTAGACCTTGTGATGTCTGATGGATTGGGAATGCGGTATGCATTTATTGGACCTCTGGAAACCATGCATCTTAATGCAGAAGGTAGGTAGTTCAAAATGATATGAATGTGAAGGGAAGGCTTACATTGCACAAGACTCTGGAAATGTTATATGACAAACCAGGTTAGGATTGCTGCAACTATAACTCGTCTCTCTCTTCACTGTAATGATAAGAAAAAGAAAATTTATCTATAACTTGAGGTTGGATGAAGGGAAATGGATATTGACTATCCTACTGTAAGTGATCAGATGAAAGATGGCAAATCATTGAAACACTAGCTGTGCCCTTCATTTTTTTTTTCCAAGATTTGTCACAGTGCTTTGCAAACATTGCCATATGCGTAGTTCGGGACTATCTGAGTGTCAGGAAAAAGTGTTGAAAAAGTTCATCTAATAATCCAGTGTCAACAGAATCTCACTTTGTGTAGATGAGTGCTCTCTCCCCCTGCCCTCCAAAATTTGTAGCAAAGGCTCAGTGTAAATATCGCTGGAGCTGGCTTGCTTTAAGCTGGCGTAGACCCTGACTGAAGTAAAATTGCTTCTGTCCACAAAAATACCGTGCATATAAAGTTGATTGACAAATCAGTTAAGTAACAGTTCAACGTCTGTCTTGCATAATCAAGACAGATTTTTAGATGATTTTGGATTAATATACATGAATCCCAGCTAAATAAAAAGTTAATTGCATAAAAGGAAGTAAAAATTATGGATCAGGGTTACAAAGGTTTGAGGAATGAATTTAACAAAACATGAAAACTTGAAGAAGTGAAGATCAACTAAATACATTTTTAGCTCTTTATATTATGGGCTGTGTCTTTATTCTGGTTTTGTACGGTCCCTGATGTGGTAGGCCCCTGCTCCATTACTGGGTCTTTTAGGCACTGCTGCAATGCCTAATAATACAATAATAAAATAAAAATAAGAAACAAGGATCATAAAATACCAGTGCACAATTAGAAGTGTTATTTTATGTCTACTTGTTGGTTAGTTACTTGGCAGAAACTGATGTCTCTTAAGGCTGACTAAGCAATTTTGACATGAATGTGGAATTATGGATCCTCCACTGGAGTCTTTCATCTTGTCAGTTTAGTTGTATATCAGTAAATTAAATGTCACAAAGTGTTTGCTTTTGTGCATCATTAGGTAAACAACATCCATCCTCTAAACAGAGGCATCTTTCTAAAATTTTCCCTCTTCTGATCTATTAATGTCTGGCACTTTCCAGTCCTCTCTAGTGATTTTAGACATACTCAATATAAACCATATACATTCTTTACATACAACAGAACAGATGCATGTAGTAGTAGCCTTAAGCGCAGCAATCTACCTGGAGTCTTCCAGGCCAGGGTTGTCCAGTCCTGCCCCCACCACTCCGCTAAGCTGCCATTCCATCCTCTGCAGGAGCTGTCCATGCACAGGGTCTTCTGTCAGAGTAACTTACTGAACTGCCTCTACTAAAACATAAAACCAGAACAAAATGTTTGTTAATAACAAAAAAAAATTAATCCATTTTAGAGATCAAATCTTGCTTGTGAACCCTTTTTTTTATCCATGTTTTAGACTCCTTAATTCTAAAACAATGTTCACTTGAGGTGAATAGAATCATATAAGTCATCTGAGTTGGTTTTGATGCTCTTCCTAGAGTGCCCTTTGGCATTTGATGTTCCATCATGATCCGGCTTAGCTTCTTTCCTCCCATCAGGAAGTAGTCATTGTTACAAAAACCCTTCTGAAATTTCCCATCTCAAACCAGTTTTGGGTAACATATGCAACTGGTGGGTAGCTTATTCATGGCAGAGATTATTCAGCTTCTAGATTTAATGATGTTAATTCTGTTAGGAATTTTAGTATCCAGATCAGAGGAAGAAAAATTATGAAATATAATCCCAGAGACTGATAAACTGGAAGAGTAGTCTTGTGGTGGGCTTGCAAAATACAAACCCAAAATATACTTGTAGAGTTATTTTAACATTATATAGTATTCTCAATTAAAAATAACCCTAAAATAACATAATTAGTACACTTGTGGACTGGTCGACTTATGCAAGAGCACCTTGTTGGCTTGTTCAGTAACTTGGATCATGAGAAGTATTGCTTCACTCCCAGTCTTGCAGATGCATTGTCTCTGAGTCTAGGGCTGCTCCTGTTTATGTGCTGGCAGGCTGACTCAGGCTGTTGCTCTCATCAGAGGCAGTTTAAATCAAAATTGCTGATGTCAGGACATACGATGGTTTATGGTCATAGTTCCATACCAGTGCCAACTTCTCTTTGGTTGCCCAGTATTACTTCACATAATATGGAATAGTATGGACCTCCTCTTGATTGCCCAGGACAACCTGCTCTGATGCATTGTACTAATAGTGTCTATTTTTCATCAGTGGAGGGAAATGGAGGTAGAGATAAGAAACCCCCTCTATCCTGTTCGTTAGCCTGTCTAGCAGCTTCACCAGCTTCACAGCAGCTGCCTTTCTTTACAGCCATAAGATATTAATTACCCACGATCTTAAACTCTCTGCTAATCGGTGAGGAAGGATGTTGGGGATGCAGGAAGCATGTGAGAGAAAAATACTGTTATTTGTGGGAGATCCTGGAAGATGGAAAAGTTGGGGGGGGGGTTTCTGTTGTTTTTTTTTTTTTTTTTTTTTTGTAAGGGTGATGTGATATTTTTGTTTGGTTTTGAATAAAGGATAAATAAATTCCAGTGATTTTTTTTTTTTCTGAGATCAGTGTTATTTCTTTCCCTGTGGGATGCGTGCATCAAGATCCTCCCATAAACTTCCTATATGCTAATGCCAGGTTTCCCCTGTGTTAGTTCTTACGTCCTCTCCTCCATATTCATAAATGGTCCTATCAAAAGCTATTATCCAGGCCACTTTAGATTACCCATTAATCCATGCATGAATATTAGGAATTTTGAATATATGGCAGTGAGCCAACAGCCTTGAACATGGAATAAAATGGGACAGCGTCAAGTCACTAAAAGGAGCAGAAGCAGCAACAGCAATTTGAGAACTGAATTACAACAGACAGGAAGGAAGCCCCGGGGGGGGAGGGCACATACAAATTGCATAATATTATAATGTTGATTTTTTTTTTGTTTTAGTAAATAAAATTAATGTTGATTTCAGTTTCAGTAAGCTCTGCCTTTTGAGTCTGTCATCACGACAAATGCTGTTAAGTCTTTTACAAAAAACATAAATAGACTTCACTAGAGTTATTTTACCCATTTACTTACTGTGGGATTATGTTAGCAGACACAATGTCCCTCCTGTATACGTACCCGCTATCTGTGAATATACTGAAGATGATCCAGCCTCAGTAAGATTGTATCTCCTAAATCTCTTGTTTCTTGAACTGTCAGCTCCTTTTAAGCCCTTGCAAAAAATCATCTGTAAAACCAGAAGCTAGACTATCATATACTGTGTTTTACATGTTTGCAGCAAAAGTTCTTCATATATATTTCACGATTGGCTGTCTTAGATCAGTTACTTTATTAGTGGGTTATTTAGTGAGCTATAATTGGAATTTAATCTTGATCTAAACTGCTAATATTAGCAGAAAAGCTGGATGGGGGAGGTTGAAGGATCTTCGTTGCGATTTTTCTCTCCTGCATTTATAAAAACACCATTCCAGGATCATATTCTACCTATCACTCACTGTGGTATTCGTACAGGTGTCTACAGGAGTTGTGTGGAAATTGGGGCTGATACATGGTCCCTATAATATAAGTACAAATATCCCGTAAGCTAGGAATGAGTCTTCGTGGTCAAAATTGTGTTTCTCTCACTGGAAGTGGGGATGCTTGCTCGTTTTAGAAGCACCTGCCAGATGAACTGGGTTTGGATGATAGGAGCAGAATTGTTGTGCTGTATGAAAAGCACAAAACATGAAAAGGAAAGAGGAGGGCAATCATAAGCCATATTTCAAAAGAAGGAAATTTTTCTTGTCTGGCTAGGCAAAACAGAGCCAAGTACTCAGCACTGGTGAGGCTGCACCTCAAGTACTGTGTTCAGTTTTGGTCTCCTGACTACAAGAAGGACATCGAGGTGCTGGAGCGTGTCCAGAGAAGGGCAACGAAGCTGGTGAAGGGTCTGGAGCACAAGTCTTATGAGGAGTGGCTGAGGGAGCTGGGGTTGTTTAGTTTGGAGAAGAGGAGGCTGAGGGGAGACCTTATTGCTCTCTACAACTACCTGAAAGGAGGTTGTAGCGAGGTGGGGGTTGGTCTGTTCTCCCTAGTAACCAGTGACAGAACTAGAGGCAATGGGCTCAAGTTGTGCCAGGGAAGATGTAGTTTGGATATTAGGAAAAATTTCTTCATGGAGAGAGTGGTTAGGCGTTGGAACAGCCTGCCCAGGGAAGTGGTACAATTACAGTCCCTGGAAGTATTCAAAAAATGTGTAGATGTGGTGCTTAGGGACATGGTTTAGAGGTGGACCAGGCAGTTAGGTTGGACAGGTTGGACCCACGTGTTGTGTTTTAGGATAATAAAATATCTCAGCTTAATTCAGGAATACTTGTAAGAGGGTACTACTGAGATGAAGTGTCACAGTGGTACATAATCATACAAAAACCTCTTCTTTCATGAACCCACCAGTTATTTCATACATGTTTACATACATTCAATTCACCTTCCAATAGGCTGAATAAAGCAGTTTATAGTCCTTCTAGAACTGCTGTTTGCCTCTATGCAGCTGCAGGGCATTTCTCTATGAAAAAGTTTGTGTGCGGTAAGCAAAGGTGTGAATTTTTCAGCATACTGGCTGCTGTGCACCAGTTTTCTTCTATGGACTGTTAGGTGTAAAGTGGTTCCCTCAGCCTTCTGAAAGGAGCACATGACTTTGCACAGGAATTCCTAATGCTTTATTGCTCAAGTCATTATAGATGTGTCCTGAAGAACACATCTTGGTGCATCCTTCTCCCTTGTGCTAACGAAAGAAAGTGCATGGCCACCAAATGACTCAGGCTGAGGAATTCATCCCATATTTGAAACTGATCTAACAAAAGAAGTGGTTTGTATTAACTCAGTTTAATTCCTTGATCCAG